ACGGACCATGTGTCAGGGGCGGAAAAATGGCCGCGGACCGCGTGTCAGGGGCGGAAAAATGGCCATGGACTGTGTCACGGGAGGGAAAATGGCCGCGTATCCTGTTCATACCCCGAGGCGGAGTTCGCAAACTGAGGCAAAATTTTGCGGCCGGAGCTGGTTGTAACCCGAAAAGTTCGTTAACAGAAGCGTTTGTAACCTGAGGTTCCACTGTATTTATGTGCAGCTGTTTCTAGATTTTGAATAAGGAAACAGTGACTATGGCAGGCTCAGAGTTTGAACACCCTTTCAGCCAGTATTTAATAACTCCTTCTTTGGCAGAAATAAGAGTTTCCAAATGTTTCCTGTAGCCAGTTACAAGTCTTACTATCCTTACTTTTGGATATTTTTCCACTCTTCCTTGTAGAACTCTTCTAGCTCAATCCTTAGGTCTCCTTGCATGCACTGCATGTTTCAGATCTCCCCACAGATGTTCAATAATATTCAAGTCTGGGGACTCTGATGGCCATTCAGAACGTATTAATTCCAAACATTTTAATCCTTCTGTCTTGCAGAACTTGTGAGAGTTGGTATGGACTGGCATACCACAGCATAGCAGATAACAGTACACAATGCTTTATTGTGGCGCACACCTTCCCCAACAATAAGGTGTTGCTCTAGGTTAACTCCACCTTCCTAAGCCTTGCAAGTTGATGTAGCCACATAAATAATCTTTAATACTCAGTCCTTAAACAAAAGTCTCAATGTCTGTAAAGCCGCATACAACCTCTGCCTCCCTCCAAATGTTCTTGCACTGGTTGGGATGAGATGATGCCTCAGTGTGGTTGCCCCTTTTCTGGTTGCTCCTGAGCTCCAAGTCAGCTCTAAGCCCTGCTCTTAAGCAGTGTTGCTTTGGAGCACTTCAGCTGAACTCCCAAGCCAAGCTCCAGGCAGGAATCCCATCAGGATATGCTGCTTACCATAGTTGTGGTCCTGGCAGTTGGGACAAAGCATGAGCTGTGCTGAGCCTTGGGGAAGTGGGAGGTGGGAAGCATTTCTGCCTGGCTGCAGCTGTTTTTCCCAAGCACAGACAGCAATCACAGCTTCATTTCCTCACAGAAATATGTTTGGGTTCATTGTCTTGCTGAAGTATCAGCTTCAGTTTCTTCACTGAGAGTAGGACATTAGTTTCTAGGATATATTGATAGTTAGTTGAATCCATCCTTCTTTTTTCCACCGATGTAATAACTCCTGTAACACTGGTTGTCCCACACTCCCAAAGCATAAATAGATCCAGAACAGTGCTTAACGGTTGGTAAGGAGTTTTTTTCTTCAAATATTTCAGCCTTGTCCTTCAAATGTATCATGTGTGTTGTGGCCAAACAGTTCAAAGGGCAAAACATTTTGTTCAGAAATATTTCAGGCTGATCAACATATTCTTTTGCACACTTTAGACAATGACTTTCATTTCCTTCTGATAACTTTTCCATGAAAATAATAGCAATGCTGTACTGTGAACCAGTGGCCAACTACACAAGAATCAGCTAAGCTTTTCAACAAATTGTTTGCAGCAATCTGCAGCTTCTGTTTTGCAGTTCTGATCAGTTTTCACACTGTTCTTGCAGAGATTTTTCTTGGTTTTCCAGATTTTCCCTTGACTTCAAAATTCTATGTAACTTCCATTACTTAACAATGTATCTCACAGTTGAAATTGCCAGCTGGAAGCATTTAGAGATTTTTTTTCCACAGCCTTTCCTGCTTTTTAAGAGTGAATTATCTTTTCACTCTTCATTTTTCAAATGCTCAGAGGAGCCCATGGTTGTTGAAAGTAGACAAAGACAACAATCACAACCTAAGAGGTTAGACAGGTCAGAATGTTGTTGAATTGTCTTCACTTGGCTATCATCTTTTGAAGCCTATTCAAAACTATACAATAATAAAGAAGTATCATGTACATGTGTATGTGTGTGTTTGTGTGTCCAAACTCCTGCCCCTGCCATATTCAATGTTTTCTTATTTTGAATCTGTACATGGCAGCATATAAAGGCTCTTGAATCTGCAGAAAGATGCTGAGTTTAACGCTGTACCATGAAGAGGTCATGTCAATTTCTCTTCACTTAGGGGTCCACTGAAACGTACAATCAGGGGTGCTTACATTCTTGCATGCCACTGTAACACTCAGTTGAAAGCATTCCAAAAGATTCTCGAGTTTCTTAGTTGAAAGTTGTTCTGGATGAACTTAGGAGAGAGGGATAGACGTTGTTCTCTGTCTAGTGCATCATCCTAATCATCTAAGTAGTACGGTGGCTGCAGGTATGATTGGTCCTTATATTGTGGAATTAGTCACATTTTGCCTTACTTTGGAAGGCTTTAATGAGTTGCTTCTCATCAACAAAACCGTGGTGAATATCAGTGTTATAAAAACTATAGGATATTTTTATCCAGATAAGACACAATCTAATTATTATCAGCATATTTACACCCCCAGCCTTTTCAATTAGTGTAGTGGTTAAAGACACTGGATTAGAAGTCAGCAGACCATAAATTCTAGTCCTGCCTTTGGCATAAAGTCAACTGGGTGACTTTGGGCCAGTCACTCCCTCTTAGCCCCAGGAAAAAGGCAATGGCAACCCACTTCTGAAATGTTGCCAGAAAAAGTGCTGGGACTTGTCCATTTGGTTGTCAGGAATCAAGACTGAGGCACAAAAAAGGCACACACACACACGCACATATACACAAAATCTTCCAAACTGGTGGTTGATACAAAGTTTCTGCAGATACATGTTAGAATTATTAAGTTATCGAACTATTTTCCCTGTCTAATGTTGAAAATAAGCTATATAAAGGGATTTTGGACATTGCTGATCTGTCAGCAGGGTAGCTATTCAAACACTGAACAGGAGAGGACCACTTCTAGTAGGGTGGTAGGGAAAAAAAAGAGTCTGAAAACAGGCTGGATCTAGTCAATGGCTGTGAAGGGAAAAAAAGATCCATAAAAAAAATCCCCAAGGTATCCTTATGGGAAAGGCAATTGGGCAGTGGGTCAGAACACTGCCAACTGCTTCATTCTAAGCCCTCTTCTCTCTTGGTCATGTGACACAGGGAGGAGTGTATTCAGCCTGCCCTGTGCTTCTTAGTGCATACATGCACGCAAGCACAACACAAGGGAACAGAAGCACACACACACACACACACAG